TTGCATGCGAAAATCACGGCGTACAACTCTTGGCGGGTCACGCAATAGTTCAGCTCGGCCCCACTCAAGGTCCGGCTGGCGTACGCGATGACTCGTTCCGTTCCATCCTGTACCTGTGACAACACCGCGCCCAGCCCGCTGCTGCAGGCGTCGGTGTCCAAAATAAAATCGGTGGTAAAATCGGGGAAAGCAAGGGTGGGGGCGTGGGTGAGGTGGTCTTTGAGAGTGGTGAAGGCCGTCTGGCAGGCCCCCGTCCACTGATAGGGGTGCTTAGGGGAAGTGAGTTGGGTGAGGGGGCGTGCAATCTCGCTGAATCCCTTTACAAATCGACGATAATAGGTGGCAAGCCCCAAAAATGATCTGATCTCCGTCAGATTCCTTGGCCGTGGCCACTCCACTACGGCGCGTACCTTCTCCGGATCGGTGTGCACGCCTGCCTCGCTGACGCGATGCCCGAGGTACCCCACCTCGCGTTGTGCGATGTAACACTTACGTGGCTTGAGCTTGAGATGAGCCGCTCGCAGTCGCTGGAACACCTCTCGAAGCCTGGACCAATGCTCAGACAAAGATCTACTGAACACTATCACATCGTCCAAGTAAATCAGGCACTGTTCCCATTGCAAGCCCCGCATCACCAACTCCATCAGCCGCTGGAACGTCGCGGGCGCATTGGTGAGTCCGAACGGGAGTACTCGAAACTCGAATAGCCCCATCGGGGTGGTGAATGCGGTTTTCGGCCGATCCTCCTCCGCCATCTCCACCTGCCAGTACCCGGACGCGAGATCGAGGGTGGAAAAATATCGCGCTCCGGCGAGGCTGTCGAAGGTGTCGTCGATGCGGGATATAGGGAAGGCATCGCCGAGCGTGACTGCATTTAGTTTACGGTAATCGACGCAGAACCGTGTTGACCCATCCTTTTTCGTTACTAGTACCACCGGGGCTGACCAGGGGCTCGCCGAGGGCTGAATTATGTTATCGCGAAGCATGTCCCCAACTGCCTCTTTGATTTGGGCGCGTTCGGGTGCGCCCACTCGGTACGCAGGGAGTTTGATGGGTCGGGCTGCACCGGTGTCAATTTGGTGCTTAACAAGATCGGTCCGACCGACGTCCGAGTCGTGTTCACTGAATACGTCGGCATACTCCCGCAGTAACTCGCGCAGCCGATCGGCCTCTCCCTTAGGTAAATCCGCCCATGGTACATGTAACGCGTCGAGCAGGGGAACGACCTCGGCTCGGGGAGTCGGGCCGACTCGCCAGGCCAGGTCCTGGTCACCCTCAGGACGCCCGGGGTCCTCAGCCCAGAGTGCGAACACCGAGTCGTTAGAGTGGCGTGCGTGCAGGGGGTGTACTGTGGCTATCGGGGTGCGCCGTCGCAGTGTCGCTGGGGTATTGTGGGGGTTAAACATCCGCATAAACAATCGGTCCCCATCTGCGTTTACCAACGTGGCGGATCCCACAACCCCATACCGTTTTGCCAACTCCGGGTGAGGAGTTAGCATTACCTCCCCTGATGGTCGGAGCGCGGGGTCGGTGGGGGATGTTGCCACCGGCACCAGCATCTCGGTGAGCGGGCCGATGGTGACTGCCGTCGCCAGGATAGCGGCCACAGGTGCAAAGCGGCGGCGCGTTGGTTCTCGTCCCAGGAACGGTATCCGCTCGCCGTTGCTCTCCATGGTGGCGCATCGCTGGCGGGGTTGCACGTTGAGTCCCAACCGTTCTAGGAGGTCGGTGCCTGCGATACACTCGTGACACAACGCACTCGACACGTAGAACTCCTGCGTGCACACCTGGCTGCCTATGCGGACCTCTAGGGTGGCTTTCCCCAGCAGCCCCATTCCGGCTCCGCTCGCAGTGTGCAGCGCGCGGTCCGGGGCCTGCAGGTGACGCACGTCGACCCCGATCGCGCTGCAGTGCGCTGCGCTCACGAGCGAGGCCACCGCCCCCGTGTCCAGTAGGATGCGGGTACGCACTCCGTTTACCTCCCCTTCCACCAGCGACGTGGCCCCCGTGATCCCCGCCACCAGCTCCCGCAGCCAGTCGCCAGGAGTCACCGTTTCCGTGGGCGTTGTTGCTGGAACCTGTGTGGAGATCACTCGCTCGCCATTATTCTCATTATCGTCTATTTGTATCGGGACCGCGTCGATTGCACCCCTAGTTGGTCCGCTCTCTAGGGGGCGTTGGAGTTTAACCCCCGCGTCTGTCTAGCTCGGGTGATTTCCGGACAATCCCTCACTAGATGCCCTCGGCGATCGCACATATAACATGCCCGGGGAGGGGGGGCGGTTCCGTAGCGGGTCCCCTGTCCGCTCCCTCCCCCCCCATTACGCCGCTGTCCACCCTCCGCCTCTAGTCAGGCTACCCTCCCAGATAACCCTCCCACCGTGGCGCGTAGGTCCCCCATTTCGGATCGGATGGTCTCAACGGAGGATTGCAGTTGGGTCATATTTTTATTCGTTTCCTCGCGTACCTGGGTTACCTGGCCGGAGACATCCTTTATACCCGTTTGTATACCGGCAACCCATCCCGGGGTTGTCTCGCGGGATACTGGAGGCTCTCTTTCCCGGCCCCTTACCGTCCTCGCGAGCTCCTGTTCCTCCTCCTCGTCTTCCGAGAGCAGGCTCGCAATGGCGCGCTCTCGTCCCAGCCCCCGGAGCTGCGCGCGTTCGCTGTGAATTCTTTCACACTTACGTGCGCGCTCGACAAGGGTGTTAAAGGGAAGACGTGGGCAGCTCATGTCTGGCTGCCACCACGCCGTGCGAGACAGGTACCGCTGGATTTTCTCGGCGGCCAGTTCCTCAATAACATCAGTTGCGTACCCCGGGCGTGCGATCTTTGTTAACTCGCGCACATCCTCGGCGTAATCACGTAGATCTTCGCCAGGTTGGCGCCGGCGCGCCTCTAAGGCCGATTTTGCTTCCTCCTCGTCACGCGTGCCAAACCGCTGATCGAGTCGGCGCATCAGCTCCTCTAGCTGTGTCTGTGCGCTCGCGGGTAACGCTTCTACAAAATCGGCTGCCCGCCCATCAAGATTCATATTAAGTTGACGTACTGCCTGCGCGTCCGTCCATTCATTAATTTCCTTGGCCCCTAAGAGATTGCGGGCGAATGCCTTCCACGAAGGGGCCCCACAGCCGGTAAATATTAGTCTTATTTTAGCGTGAGGTAACGCGGGGGTCCGTACCGCTTCCGACACCAATTTGTGGGGGTCGCTAGCCCCCGAGATCCCTCCCTCGATAATGCTAACGGCCGGGCTAGCATCATCAATCGCCCCCCCGCTGCTAAGCGAACCGCTGCTAAGTTCCTCACCCATGGTGTGGGAGCCGTCGCCCGAGGGTTCCACTCCACCGCGGGTCCGTGTAGCAGGCATGGTTAATTACGTACGCGCACACCCACACACACAGCTCTGTACGGCACTCACTCTTGCGCTTCTCTGCGCCGCGCTGGCCGCTCACGTTACAATCGCGCACCTGGGGTACGCCGATTTCGCACGCTGCGAGCTTACGCACACACAGTACCACACGCGTTCCCACGCGCAACCCGCGCGCTCAGCTCCGCGCAGCGCTCACTCACGTGGCGAACCACTGTGCACACAGCGCACCCACACGCTCACACTGCACGACAAGATCACGCGAGACCACGCTTCGCTATTAATGATTTATTATATGCCACCTGCGAATTGATGTTGAATCAGTGAGTCGACGAGGCTGGCCTATTCCACTAAACCTGTACCTATTCCCTATTTATCTGCTATGATTCTAATTCCCCTTCTTACTCACTGTTAAGTGTCCACGGCGGTCCGCTGATCCCGGTGCTCACCGCGCGCCTCGGTGCGTCGCACGGACGTCCGGGTCGCTGGCTGGAGCTGCGTCTGGTCGCCTGGCGCTGGAGTAAGAGAGCGATTTCCCCTCTGCGCTCCTCTATTTATCCTCCCTACCTCCAAAGGGGATGCTGCGCTGAACAATGGGCTCGTGCACCCCAAGCCCGCGCACGGCAGTCCCCAGGCGCTGTTGATATGCTAATCAGTGTGCTGCGTGCAAGGCGTAAATCCTAATTAATCCCTTACCCTCCCTAACAATGGGGCCTGCGCGCTCAAGCGCAATTATCTCAACCCTCCATGACTATGCGCAACAGCCCCTGTGATCCCGCTATTCATGCTGTCTCGTGCCTCCCCTGCTTGCCCCGTCGACTCGTGGGGGTGTGTGTGGGGGGAAATGCGCCTCAACCGCGGTGGCCGAATGCCCCACGCCGCGACCACACCATATTAAGGCCGGCAGCAGCGCCGCGGTACCACGTAGCACGGGGGAGGTCATCCAATTCCCTGATCGCCGGAAACCGTGAGAATTAATCCCGATAAGGGTCTCTCGGATAAAAACCGGTCGATCAGGTAACCTTCCCTTCCAGCTCTATGGGGGGGGGGGATGCGTGTGGGTGTGTGCTTATGTGGGGCGGGTGATGGGGGGCAGTGCGGTGGGGGAAGCCGGGCGGCTCCCTGGCTCGGCAGAGCGGCCCCGTCGCTGTGGCACCACAAACGCACTGCACATCAACACTTGCGCAAAATACACACACACACACAAACGTATACGCATAAACACATTAACACGCACACACACACACGTGCACACGAACACATCAACACGATCACATATCACACCAACGCACACACATGAACACACACACACAGACGTGTTTGCTAACACGCATAATAGCGGGCGACGCGTGAACACTGTGGCGAACTTGTGGTTCAAACGTTAAGTTTTGCCCACTTGGCAACCAGCTTCTTCTCTCGTTAGGATCTACGTCTTCGAGTTCATTCACGCTTTTTTATCTTCCAATACGAGTGTGTGAGAAGTAGCTTTTAATGCCGCTCTGATTAACCTCAGTGCCTCTTGTTCTAATGTGTTCACGCGCATGTTTTGATACTTGTTTTATATGTTACTCAAGCGTGGCTGTTCCACACTCACCTCGTTACCTCAAATCACTCTCTGCTCTCACCTCGTCAGCTCATCATACTTACTTACGTAACCTCACCACACTACCTTACCCTCACCCTCACCTCGTCACACTCTCTCACATCGTCTCAATTCCGCAAGTCATCTTTAACCTCAACAATGTCTCTCTGAACCTCATCGCCTCCCCTCACCTGCACTCTCACCCGCTCATCACTCACCTCATCTTGCCATCGCCCCCCTCACTCCCTCCACCAAACCTCGTCGCTCACCTCATCGTCTCTCCCTAGCCCCAGTCATCTCCCTCATCTTGTTACTCCCCTCATCCCCCCTCCACTTCATCAACTCGTCGCTCACCTCGTCATTCACCTCATCGTCTCTCTGTAGCCCCGGCATCATTCTCATCTCGTCGCCCCGTAACTCCCCTCACTCCCTCCACCTCGTCTCCCCCTAGACCCCGTCACCTCCCTCATTTCCTCCATTCGTCACCCGCTCCCCCCCTCACTCCCTCAACCTCGTCCACACCCCAACCTCGTCGCTTCACCTCGTCACCGAGGATGGCGCCGCAAATGAGAGGGACGACGCTGCGCTGGAGCGACACGAAGCTGTGCGCGGGGTTCGTGCGCGCACGCGGCCTCCAGCAGCTCGTGCGGGGCCTCACGCAGCGGGGCCACGGGGACCACCCGCTCCTCTGGGGTGATGAGGTGAGATCGACGAGGTGATAAGTGAGGCGAAGAGGTGATGAGTGAGGCGACGAGGTGATGAGTGAGGCGACGAGGTGAGAGAGACCAGGTGATGAGTGAGGCAATGAGGTGATGAGTGAGGCGACAAGGTGATGAGTGTGGCGACGAGGTGATGAGTGAGGCGACGAGGTGATGAGTGAGATGGGGAGGTGATGAGTGAGACGGGGAGGTGATGAATGAGGCGTCGAGGTGATGAGTGAGGCGACGAGGTGAGATAGACCAGGTGATGAGTGAGGCAATGAGGTGATGAGTGAGGCGACAAGGTGATGAGTGTGGCGACGAGGTGATGAGTGAGGCGACGAGGTGATGAGTGAGATGGGGAGGTGATGAGTGAGACGGGGAGGTGATGAATGAGGCGTCGAGGTGATGAGTGAGGCGACGAGGTGATGAGTGTGGCGACGAGGTAATGAGTGAGGCGACGAGGTGATGAGTGAGGCGACAAGGTGATGAGTGAGGCGACAAGGTGATGAGTGAGGCGACGAGATGAGGAGTGAGGCGACGAGGTGATGAGTGAGCGGAGGAGGTGATAAGTAAGGCGACGAGGTGAGAGATACAACGCGAGAACGACGATGTGAAGAGTGAGGGAACGAGGTTATGAGTGAGGGGACAAGGTGAGAGGGACCAGGTGATGAGTGAGGGGACGAGGTGAGAGAGACAATGCGAGAACGACGAGGTGAAGAGTCAAGGGACGAGGTGAGATAGACGAAGTGACGAGAAAGTGAGTGAGCGCGGTAATGAGGTGACTGAGAAAAAAAGTTAGAGGACGCGGTGATGAGATTATTTAGGGGACGAGGTAAATGAGACGAGGTTATAAGACAAGGTGAGAGGATGAGGTCAGTGTGAAGTGACGAAATGTGTATCTGAGGTGAGGTGGTGCGTTCCCTTTTGCCTCTATACCCATTCAGAAGCAGCAATTACAAGTACACGCCTGTGCCTCGAGCCCATTGCAGTGTGACTGTGTGAGTGACAGTCATTCTATGGCGGTTGCTCGCTCACAAAAACTTGCTCCTGCAGTATGTGAAGCCTGTACGGGCCATCTTTGTCTTTGGCGGTAGTTCGATCACGGAAACCAGTGACAATTGTCTGAACCGGTACCTGGGATTCCCCTAGGACGACTCGGCCTCAAATTAGTACCTGGCGCGATGTGTTAACATTGCCACGGGGAAGACAAATACGGCCGGGTGTGGTGCTGGCCACCGACCACCTCGTATGCCGTGACAGCCTTCGTAGGTGCTCGGCCAACCAAGGCTGGATTTTGGACCGGGCCAGTGCAGCCAGTGTCACGGGGCCTCGGACTGCCAGGGGGCCTCCAAGCCTCAGGCCATGCGCGGTGCGAGGCCCAAGACTTCCGAAGGAATTTGAACGTCAGGACCCTCAGTGCACACAGCGCAAGCTGATCGCTAGGCCCCTGGGTGCTTATAGCATAAGCTAACCACTAGGGCCCCCCAGACCCCTCAGCGCTTACAATGTGAGGGCCCCCAGACCCCTTCGTGTTTAAAATGTAAGCTGACCACTTGGGCACCTGGGCCCCCTCAGTGCTTACAGTGTGAGGGCCCCCAGGCCTCTCCGTGCCTAAAACAGGAGGTCACCACTAGGGCCCCGGGGCCCCACAGCAATACTAATGTTTGGCCCCTCGGTTCTTAAAGCGTGTGCTGACCACTAAGCCCCTCGGGCCCCTTGGTGCTGACAGTGTAAGTTGACCACTAGGGCTCCCAGGCCCCTCGGTGCATACATCAAGCGAAACACCTGGGCCCCTTGGTACATACAGTGCATGTTCTTGGTTCTTTCGGTAAAGTCACATAGAAGGGAAGTAATAAAATAATAAAAATAAAATGGAAGAGTGGTAGTAGGAGACTTGCAGCGGAGAAAATAATCCATTCCCTGCGGTCTCCTATTACCACTCTTCCATTGACATATTTCGTTGCTTCCTCTTAGTATCTTTCACTCGACGGTCAATGGTATAGTGTATAACAGATTGTATAATAATAAATAGTATAACATTTTAATGTGTAATACAATGTATAAGGCAATATATAGTATCGTAATTTTATAGTGAATATATAGCAGTGTGATATACAGTAGGGTGGGCAGAATAATACATAGTGTAATATTTCACTATGTATTATTCTAAGGTATAGGATGGTGTATAGTAATACAGTATGTAATTTAATGTTGGGTTTATCTATGGCAGCATATAGTACGGGATAGACCCGTGTGATGTAAGGGAAAAAAGTTTAGCTGGAAGCATATTACTGTTAGTAGCTCAGCTTATTGAGAGTATATTTAGTATACTGATGATACTATGTAGTTTATACTTTAGTTTTTTACGTGGTTGTTTAGTTACTGCAGCTATATACTATTAACATTTGTGGCACATTAGGAATGGATCACTCTTTCAAGTATGTCCTTGTGCAGCAAGGGAGTAAAGTGTGGTTCTGTGAAAGTCCTGATGTGCTGTGCAGTGCATCAATGCATGTGTGTACAGCAGCATGTGATGACTGAGTCGGGCCTGTAGGTGGCTGGCAGGGTCACATGGTTAATGGCGGCTCGGGAACAAGGCTGGTTGTAACACACGTGTTGTTGCATTTTACAGGTAAAGGACCCAAAGGTTGTTTTTGATCGTTATATAAATGTTCTAGACTTGTTCTAGACTTGTTTTAGACTTTAAGCTTGGCTTTGAATTGTTCGTTTGTGATATATGCAATTAGAGGCGTTTTAGTACTGTGCATTGTAAAGGGATGACGCACTGTAATTAGTTACTGTCATTGCAATTCTCTAACTCTAATACTGTTTAGTCTATAACCATGCCCATGTACCCAGAGTATGACTACTTGCAATGCTATTGAGAATAGAACACATGTAAAGTAGTAAGCTATACAATGGTGAGATACAGTACGTATACTGTACACATACAGTACATACAATGGGTGTAATATACCGATGTAAGTGGATGGTATAGATAGACATACAGCTTAGGATTAAAGTAATAGTCGAATAGTGATGTGCAAATGTGATTGTCAAAGACAAAGATGGTTTATCAGTAGTAGAATTGGGTTGAAGAGAAACGTGTTGTTGCATTTTACAGAGTGACGGTGCTGTTCTTCCCAAGATTAATATTAACCACAATAAATAAATGTGCTTGCCCTCGATTTGGAGCACCTGCCCACGTCCTTCATTTCGAGTGTGCAACACATTCCTTCCCTTTATTAATGCTACCCCTATCCCCTCCCTTTGATGCTGCTAATCCTGCATAATGCACGGGCATAATATAACTTTGAAAACCCCCCGCCCACCTCCTACGCATTTCACAAGTAGTACTAATCAAATTCCTGCATTGCCCATAAATATGCTAAATTCCTCTTGATATGCAAATTATTTTGTCAAGGCGCACTTCCCCCCTTCCAACCCAGCTTAAATAGACGCTCCAAGCGTGGTGGTGTTTCATTCAGAACGCTGTCTCCCCGACAAACCTGGTCTTCACCTGAGGACGGCTGCTTGCGTTGTGGCCGAAACGTCGTGAGAATTATTTTATTATGTTTTATTTTTATTATTTTATTACTTCCTTTCTACGTGACTTTACCGAAAGAACCAAGAAGATGAATCCCTGCAGTCACGAAAGCTTTAAATCGAATAAAAATACAGTGCATAATTAAAACGAGAGGCTTTAGTATAGTACAGTGCTTCTGTACAACTGAGACACTGGTTGGTACGCTACAATATGCTGTGACATGATACAATATTCACCAACAAGTCAGTTCATTCTGAAAACAAGACAGTTTGGCGGGCGCCATATTATGGCAAGCCATTCGTTATTTGACTTACCATAACTAGCTATCCCTTTATTTTAGCTAGCCGCCCATTTTCCCTAGCTAGCTGCCACACCGGTAGGAAGGTGTGTGGGGGAAGGCCAATTCAACACGAAATAATAATCAACAAAACACAATCAAGTAACAAAGAAACTTGTCGTTTTACTTCTAGTGCCACAGTGTTACTGACGAATGTGTGTGTTGATATTTTCAGTCTGAAAGGGGAATCGGCTTGCCAGTGATTACAATGCCGTGCCGCTGTTACCTCCCTCCACCTCTCTGTCACCTCCTCCTCTCTCCGTCATACCCTCCTCTCTGCATCTGCCCTCGTGTGAGCGCGCAGGTCGAGTACATGCTCGTCTCCTTCGATCACACGGCGCGCAGGGCCCGTGTCTTGTTCAACGCAGAGGAGCTGATCAACGACTTGAGAGCCATGGACGAGGAGGCCAACCCGGGGTGAGACCTCCTCACCCTCCCCTTCCTCCTGCGACGTGCTCACAGCAGAGTGGCCGTGCCCCAACGGCTCCAAGCCGTTTTTCAAACCCAACACTTTGCGTAAATTGTGAGAATTCCTACTGCTCCCCCCATTCCCCACCTCGGGGAGGAGCAGGAGGAATGCACGCAGGCTGGAGACAAGCAGGAATAATGACATGTAGAGGTGGTGAGGGCGATTGGGGATGGCGAGCCGATCCGAGAGGAATACATTTTCCGATTCCATTTTCGTAAACTTTTGGAATTGATTAGATTTTTGGTACAAAATATCCAGCCTCACCCATGCATTCTATATAATGGAATCGAAATTACACTGCTATGTTATTTTTTTAAACGATTCATTTATATACATTTCCCTTTTTGTTATTCGTTATCATCTGAGGTATTGAATTGTCACTTGTTTCGACGGTGCATGCAGTGAAATCGACAATGCCAGATGTGTGGCAACTGATTGGCTCACGAATGATGACATCACATTTACCATCACCTCTCAGACAATTCTGGCTCTCGTCTGATGATGCTGGGTGTAGTTACCTGCGAAACGTCGTACTCGAATTGTAAATGTTGTGGGTTTACTCTCCAACACACAATTGTGCTGAACTACTAAGTAATTGGCATGTTTTGTTTACGTGACAAACCATAATAATTGGGTGTTTCGGGTGGTGGCAGGTTTATCAACACATTTATATTTACGTGATCTAACCTAAAAAACTCTGTTATGGATACTTTTCGTTTGTTGACGAAATGCATAAGAAGGTGAAATGTGGCATCGCAGAACATTTTTCAGTTCAACGGTTATTTCCTACACGGAGTATCCTGTTTAGCCAGTTACCCAGCTAGTTTTTCAACGAAGTTCCGTGGTGCATCACCATGGAGCGAGCACAACAACGACAGAGTGATCCGCGGTATGGAGGAACGGGCGACATCAGAACACTAAAACGTGACAATATTAACCAAACGAATAGGCACAGTGCACCAAAGACAAGGACAAGAGGAGATGCGCGCTAAGTTGTAAGCGAATGCGGTCGATCGAATGCAACCATTACGGGAACGCAAGGTTCATGAGTTGGTTATGTGGTTCTCGCCTGCCGTCTCCTTCAAAGTGGACGCTAAAGGTCTCGTGACGTCATTTGCAGGTGTAGGCCCGTTGTGCACCAGCATCCAAGGGGGCGCTACGGTGGCGAGATGTTAACTACCTCGCTTGGTATGCAGGAGGTCGTGGGTTAGATCCCGACCTTGACGCCTGTTGTATATTTGGAGTTAGCATGTTATCCCCGTGGTGGCGTGGGTTTTTCTCCAGCTGCTCCTGTTTTTCCCTCCACATTTACTAACATGGTTATAGTGTATTTGGCTGCTCTATATGTCCACGTGATAAGCCACTTCGTTGAGCTATCATTTGTGGTTAGGTAAAATTTAAAAAATAGTTTAACAGTTTAAATGTTGCCTATTTTGAAGAAAAAAATACCCGCAAAATTACATGCATTGGAATATACATATCAATCATCTCCACCCTACTATGACAATATGGCAGGACTCCACTTAAAAAGAGTCATTTTGGCTCGGTGAGACTTTCTTGCGTGTACAAACAAGCAGGATGAAGCAACGCAATAATAATAATGGTAATATCTCTCCCATGCGGCAGGTACCCATCGCGGTGGCACCTGGAGTATTGCAGCTACATGCTGGAGGGGATCCCAGCGCAGCCGTACGGAAGCTCCATGGCCGAGCTGGCCAGCGTGGAGCCGAGCATGAGGCTGCGGCGGAGGGACATGCTGGCTCGGCTGCGCTCGAACGAGACGATATGCTCTCTCACCACCTTCCCCAGGTGAGAGGGAGCGTCGTCGGCGTCGCTATCCTCTTAGTGGAAGAAGTAGGCACCTGCGTGAAAGCTGAGCCCCTTTGTATGTATGTGTAGTGTCGTAGGTCTCTTCTCCCTTGTTGAGGCTTGTGTGTGTGCGGGTGGCATGCGGCACACACACTCAGCCGGAGACGAGGTAGTCGCAGGAGGCACTGTCCTTCCTTTATTACGTTCACGCCACCAACTCCGGCCATCTTTCTTTCTCACGACCACGCTGCTGTACGACCCGGTCGCTGTGAAGATGTCGGTTCAAACAGGGAGAGGCAGCCTGCATGCGTGTATAGCTGGTTCGCTCGCATTCACGCGCGGGCGACCTCGCTCACCCGCTGGCTTGCCTGTGCGTGGCTCCTGTTGATGCAGACTCGGCTGCCCAGGTTTCTCTGAGCCCGAGTGTGTGCCCCAGCACCGAGATGGACAATCCGCGTCCCTGTTCTTGCCGGACGAGGCTATCACCTGCCACCCACGCTTCAGGTGAGAGTGTGTGGCGAGTAATTGAGTGTGTGGAGTGAGGACATGAGTGAGTGCGTGAGATCTGGACAGTGTGGGGAGGGATAGTGTAGTAGCGGTCAGCACGCTGCGCTACTGAACCCGGTGGCCCGAGTTAGAATCACACTCATGGTCAACAAGAGTGAAGATTATCTGAATCGGTCCTGGGCCTCCCCTAGGTCGACTCAGCCTCAAACGAGTACTTGGGAGTAAACTAAATACATTTTTATTTTTTACTCTTTAGTTATTTCGGTGAAGTCTCGTACTTAGAAAAAATAATAGATCACGACGTTTCGATCGCCACACAAGCAACAGTCTTCTCTCAACTGAAGACGGTTGCTTGTTTGGCGATCGAAACATCGTGATCTATTTTTTTTTACCTACGTGACTTTACCGAATAAACTAAAGAGTATGAATTACTGCGGTCACGAAAGCTTCAAATTAGGATATTTATTTTATTTTACCAGGTAAGGCTCACAGAGCTATTTAGCTCTTTTCCAGAAGCGACAAAGTGGCTCATTGTGTGGAAATGTATAGCAGTCAAATACTCTAAACACATGTTTCTAAATGTGGAGGGAAAAACCGGAGGACCCGGAGAAAAATCCAAGCAATCACGGGGACAACATGCAATTCCAGGCAGCGTCGGTATCGAACCCACGACTTCTTGTATACCAGGCAAGGTAGTTAACATCTCGCCACCGTGGTTCCCTGGGATTAACGTCAGTGGGCAGGGAATGCTGATGCTGCGGGGAACCATTACGGAGGGCCGTTGCATTCATTTGAAATTAACAGGGACTTCGTCGGATTTTTATTTGTCGTCTTTTGCCCGCAGCGCGCTTACGAGGAACATCCGTGAAAGGCGAGGAGAGAAGGTCGTGGTGAACGTACCGAGTGGGTATCATTCAAACCAGCCGACCCCCTCCCCCTTCTTTTCCCTTTCACCTGCAACGTACAACAACAGGAGTATGTGCTGCGCTTCAAACCTCGCTTCCCCCCCCTTATCTACCTCCCCCACCCCCCTAGTCTTCAGGGACAGAAACACTCCGTCCCCATTCATCGACCAAATCCCGCACGGTGACGAGGAGGCGGCCATCGCGGTTACGGCTGACCACATTTACATGGACGCGACGGGATTCGGCTTGGGAAACTGCTGCCTGCAGGTAGAGTTAAGAAAAAAACGATTCAACTATTGTCAGGCATTTCACATCGGTGTACAAAGTTGAAACTAAACAATTTTTTTCTTATTATGAGAAAAAAATCATGATAAGAAGGCCCACTAAGCTACGTAGCTTTTTTTCAGAAGCGATCTGGCTATCACAAATGATAGCTCGACGAAGTGGGCTTATTATCATTGTCGTGTGGAAATTTACAGCAGCAGCCAAATACTCTGAATGTTCGATGATGATTCTAAATGTGGAGGGGAAAAACCGGAGGACCCAGAGAAAAAATCCACGTATCCACAGTGAGAACATGCAAACTCCAAATATACAGGCATCAAGGTCAGGATCGGACCCACGATTTCCTGTACACCAGGAAAAGTAGTTAACATCTCCTAGCCACTGTGGCGCCCCAGTTAGACAAGCCTACCCCCACGGGGCCCACTCATGTCCACCGCGGGTTTTGTGAAATCCCACAAACTGGCTTACGACACGAAAACGATTGAGAAACATTTGTTGCATGCACAGATTTTGTTCACTCTCGCGCACACAGAGTGACAGGCGAGAGAGAAAATGATCAATACGGCTTTGGAAGCTTTCTCTTTTGCGTCACAGGTTACACTGCAGGCCAGAAACATAGAAGAAGCGCGACATATCTACGACCAGCTGGCTCCTCTGTGTCCCATCATGGTGAGTGAGTTTCAGTGAGTATAGCTGGCTGCTTTGTCCCATCATTGTGAGTGCCAGTGAGTACAGCTGGCTCCCTCCATCATTGGCGAGTACCATCTGACTGTGTGCACTCGCCCCTCCTGCAGATGGCCCTTGGCGCCGCCGCCCCCTTCTACCGGGGGCTCGTGTCGGACGTTGACTGCCGTTGGAGCATCGCCTCCGCGGCAAACGACGACCGCACGCGACAGGAAAGAGGGCTCGAGGTGACGTTTAATCATCTTTTTTTACCCCGCCAAATGCGATTCTCCCCCCATTCTGATCGCTCTGTCTGTGTTCACGATGGAGATTCCAACACCCCCCATGAAAGCGGATATCACAGAACTACCGCTGAGATCCCTAGTTAAAAGTGCCATCTGATCCAGCGCTCTTTCACTTGTGCGTCGCACGGCAGTCACACCGATATTTTCATTTTATTTCATAGCCAAATTAAGTGCAGAACCAATTTAACATTTTCTTTATAGTACTTTTCATTCAGGTAATGTGCAGACCCGACACATCACCTTGTGACGCACGTGTACACACACCGTCAGCATAAGCCAAGGGTTGAATTAAGGGGGAAGGGATGACGAGGAGAGAGAGGGATACATCCTGTGAACGTATTACAGGTGTTGTATGAGGGGGGACCATCTGGCTTCAAATTCCTGCAGAACCAAATGTAATGTTGTGGGGGTTTTTTGTGCAAGTCATTGGTGACCTGGCTAAAACCGTTACCTCACTGCGCTAGAATGCACAGATTTAATCACAGGCAGCTGAGACCTGGCTTCAAACCCAGAACCGCAGTGGTGCTGGCTCACTTCCAAGAATGTTTTATTTATTTGTATAATCGCTCATTGACTGAGCAAACCTTGGGGATTGGCAGTCGACTATAAAAGATTTTAGGCAGCGATGGCGAGGTGCGGTCGCACCAACGGTGTTTGGTCGTGGTAACCTCTTGACCGTTGCAATGATTTTTCAGGCTGCACGACATCTATGAAGCCGTGTATTGCAATCAGGGTTTAAGTTCTGTCACTGAATATCTTCCGGTTGCTGGCAGGTGACTGGAGTAGGTGGCTCGTAATGAGTAGGAGTAGGAGCCAAGCCGTAGTGGTGAGAGATATACAGGATATTTATTTTATTTTTGGGTGCAATTGTGAACAATAACAATATAAGACACTAGTGGTAAGAACCCGGCATTGCCCAGGGGAAAATATATATATATAAACTTCTCTTACAAACATAACATATACATACACAAATACTAAAAAGTTTTATGTATGTAAAAAGTATTTGCGTATAAATTTTACGTGATTAGGAGAATGCAAAATAAACTCATACTGAATAAGCAATGCAACTGTGAACGCAAATGATGGACCACATAATAAACCAGTGTGGTCTCCGTCTCTTCAATGTAGGAATAACAGGATAGCATGAGCTCTCTCTTGAAGCCTTTTTGCTGTAAGCAGACCTCAACATGGACATTTAGCTCCGCAAAAGTGGCATACGCAAGTATGCACTTCACAAAACAAAGACGGTATATAATTGGGAATAGGTAAATGAGGGAAATTGGGGAGACGGGAGGTAGGGCAAGTAATGACCAAGCGGTGCCGCAAACAATCGCTGGCAGCCAGATCGCCAACAGGACACTTGGCAGGCAAGGAGGCAGACAGGAGACTTTGGGATGGGGCGATGAGATGTGGGATGGCGAGGAAGTTGCGCTGCATGAGCGCCATCATGAACAGCCACTGGCAGCCAGGCCGCCGAAATGGTGCCCGGCAGGCGCGGGTGCAGGCGGGAGACCCGGAAAGGAAGCGATGTGCATGGCGCACAGGGCGGCGAGATGTGGGCGCGGCTCAGCGAGCACTCGCCGATAGCCGAACTGCCCAACAGCAGGCGTGAGGTAAAGAAGCACACGTGATTTTTATTTTTATTTTACTTTTATTAATTTGAATTTTTTTTACCTACGTGACTTTAACGAAAAAACCTAAAAATAGGGCCTCTCAAAAATAATCAAACTGGCACATTTTGCTGACCCCCACACCCCTATCAAAGAGCCTTTTTTGTAAACAATGTCTCTGGTGTGGACCAATCAGTTTCAAAGACAATGCATTAATTAGCAGAGTATTGTTTTTTGTTTGCATTTGACTGCAAGTATTGTGGTTAATGTAAGCATGATTCCTTGCAAAAGGTGTCAGTTTTGTTGCCAGAAAAAAAGGGGAAAAACCCTATTAACATCATAGGAGAGTTTACGTAGAATCTCTTGGGCAAGGACAAGCAGGTTGTCCCTGGTGGATGTTGGTAGTCCGATAGACTCGAGGTCTTTTCCACTAATGGAGTGAAGTTTGTCTTCAAGGAGAATGAGGGCCTGGTTAAAAATGACATCAGAAAAGTTCAACTCGATTCTAGATTTGAAGCTTTCGTGACTGCAAGGATTCATATTCTTAGGTTTTTTCGGTAAAGTCAGTAGGTAAAAAAATTAAAATTAATAAAAGTAAAATAAAATAAAAATAAAATAAAAATCACGATGTTTCAGAGGCAACACAAGCTTCCGTCTTCAGGTGGAACCGTCACAGCACGCTTGCTGTATCAAGTAAATGAGAAATTCCAAGATATACTACCCCGTATATATGCTGGTTGAGGGGGGGATGAGCCAGGACAGGTGTGAGGGCCGTCGGCCCCCGGGGTCCCTCCCGCCTGCATCCCCTATTCCGTTTACGTTACCCCACCTCCCTATTATCCGCTACAGTTTCGCCGGCATTCGAACGCGACGCCCCTACTGTTACAGCCTCGCGCCGCGCTCCCACGCTGCGAGCATACGTGCGCACAGCATCATCAATCGAGCGCCACACTCCCCCTCTTTACACCGCTACGTACAGCTCTCGTACACTGCGAGCGTGTGCCCGTCTATAGCCCTGTGCGGCACGTTACCAATGCGCATCCGTATCCGACACGTAACGAACGTATGCGCACTCCCACCCACACGCCGCTCCGCGCACTCCAACTCAACTCACGTTATGATCGCGCACCTGTATCACACACGGAGTGAACACACGCGACACCCACTCTCGCGCCGCTCTGCGCAGCGCTCCCCCGAGGCGAGCCGCAGCACTACACTCACCCCTGACTACTCGCGTTATGATCGCGCACCTGTATCGCACCCGGGGTGGACGCACGCACACACACGCAGCTCCCCACGCGACACTCTGCACGACAAGATCACGCGAGACCACGCTTCGCTATTAATGATTTATTATATGCTACCTGCGAATTGATGTTGAATCAGTGAGTCGACGAGGCTGGCCTGTTCCACTAAACCTGTACCTATTCCCTATCTATCGGCTATTATCCTACTTCACCTCCCCACTCACCGTCAAGTGTCCACGGCGGTCCGCTGACCCTTGTGCTAACAGCGTACCTCGGTGCGTCGCACGGACGTCCGGGTTGCTGGCTGGGGCTGCTGCTGGTCCTCTGGCGCTGGAGACAAGAGAGCGATTTCCCCTTTGCGCTCCCTATTTATCCTCCCTACCTCAAAGGGATCCGGCTCTGAACAATGGGCTCGCGATCCTCTGACACGCACACGGCGGTTCCGGGCGCTTTTGATATGCTTATAAATGTGCGGCGTAAATTCTAATTTATCCCTTTCTCATGCATGGCGCCGTGCTCCGTCGCACCATGCGCGTCGTTCATCACCACGGCGCGCTGCTGAAGTTAAGCGCGGAGCTTCCGCATGTCCCCCACCACCTGCCCTATCAATTGCGCACCCTAAACTATGCCGCCCCGTCCCTCCTCCGCCTGTCTCGTCGACCCGTGGGGAGTGTGTGTGGGGGGAAATGCGCCTCAACCTGCGGTGGCCGAATGCCCCACGCCGCGACCATACCATATTAAGGCCGGTCGCAGCACCGCGGCGCAACGTAGCACGGGGGAGGTCATCCAATTCCCTGATCGCCGGAAACCGTGAGAGTTAATCCCGATAAGGGTTTCTCGGATAAAAACCGGTCTGCCAGGTGACCTCCCCTCGGAGCTCTATGGGGGGGGGGGGAATGCGTGCGGGTGTGTTCATGTGAGGTGAGGTGAGGGGGACAAGGGGTTGGCTCCGTTGCTTGGTGGTGGCGAGGTCGGGGATGGGGCGCCTGCCGAACGGCGTCGTGGCGGCGGCATCACACAGACCCCCTTTTTATTATTATGGTAAGGTTGGTGCGGCTTGAAACTACGGCTAGTCTACATAACAAAGGACTGAGCCTTTGTTATGTAGACTGGCTGAGAGGGTGGGTGGGGTGCCAGAGTTGTTAAAGTGCAACTGCTGCTAATGGGACCGATCCTCTGCCATGTAGATGGTAAAAGCAAAAAAGCAGGTCAGGAAGAAACAGCCTCCTGCTATGTTGCTTGGTGGGTAAAACTTATAGCAGGAAACCAGCGTGTGAAATAAGAAGCTAAACATGATAAAACAAAACTGGCTGTCTATCAGTAAACTGTACAGTAACTCAAGAATAGTTGTCTGTCAAATAAGATGGTCCAAATATGTGTAGTTAAATATTTTTTGCATGGTTAATCACATCTTTCCAATGATTACTCAGTTTGTACCCATCATCACGGTTGAAATTATGTCTGTGTTTGTATATTTGTATGGCTTCGTGTACAAACCTTTGATGGTAGCCAGGAGGTTTGCAGAGCACCTTGGTCTCGGAAAAGACAATTTCATGAGAGCCCACAGAGTTGTAGCAATGATCGGCAATGGTCGAAGAATCAGTTCTGCCATGTTTCAGATCTGACGTGCTCACGGACACGATCAGAGACATGACGTTTCGTTTCTCCAATGTAGTAATCACCACAACTGCAACTCAGTTTGTAGACTCCAGGGTACTGTAAGTCAGGAACGACATCCTTCACAGATGGAATCAGATCACGGATTTTATGCACTGTACTGAATCTGACTTGGATCTTATGTTTGTTTAGAATTTTGGAGATCTTTTTGGTCACGCCTGCTATGTATGGCAAAGTGATAGTTTTGGTCGGAGTTTCATGTGTGGTGCCACAACGACGTGGCCGCTCTGCCGAGCCAGGGAGCCGCCCGGCTTCCACCACTGCACTGCCCCCCATCACCCCCCCCACATAAGCACGCACCCGCACCCACGTAGGGCCTTGTGGTCGGGTCACCTACCCTGAGTTTTCACCCGAGGGCCCCCTCGGGGGGTTACCCCACGGTTTCTCAGGGCCAGGGAATTGGACAGGACCCTTCCCAGGCTAAGTAACACTGCGGCGCCGTGGGCGGATTTGAGATCGCACGACCACGGCGAGCTCAGAGAGCCCCGCAGTTAGAAACGCATACAAACACAAACACGGGTCAGCAAGGCAGATAACTAGGATCAGGACCCGGGGCTGCTGATTAGCCAAAAGGTCAAAGGCCGGCGGGATCGCAAAAGGACGGGAAATCCTAGGCTCAGGATTGGTCGAGAGACCAAGGCGGTCGGGACGGGGGCGCCTAGCCTTTGATGTGGATAGTTTAAAAGAAAACGCAGGGGCAGTAGGGAGCTCTCTTCTTCTGGAGTAGTGACACGGGGTCAACGACGAGGGAGTCATCGGGCGAGCCGCAGGATCGTCTGCAGGACGACCTGAGCGCTGCAAGGTCACCTAGGACTACAGACGGTATCGTATTACGCGCCTTACAACACCTCAGAGCGGAGAGTAGGATCCGTAGGAGAAGGTTAGTTCGGGGTAAGGACGAGTAGGAAAGCGGTGTAACAGAGAGCGCAGCATAGAATAGGGCTGCACGCCACTAGAGAGTGGGTTGGAAGCGCCTTGCTGGCTCGTACACACACACGGGTGGCTCGGTGGGTTAACAAGGGTTAATAAAATCTCGAGCGTAGTAACAAAACCGTGTTGTTGGGTGTTTTTGAACGTGGTATTAGCGTGCACTGCATTCGCGGGTGTGTGGTCGTTGTATGCGTAAAGGCCGTGGTCTCTGTACGATGGTGCGGGTACGGAGGTGTGTGTGTTAACGCCCGGGGAGAGCACTTTTGTGTGTTGGCGTGCCTACGCAGCCGTGTGAGAGGAGAATCGTCCTTGCACGATACTTGTGTTGACGTGCACGCGCGAGTGCGGGAGGGGACGAGTCGTCGTGTCGGCGTGCACCCCGCTCGCGTGTGCGAAACCGCGGTGCGCAGTGAAGCTGTTAGCTTTGTGCGAGCTTGCGTGTGCTCGAGCGCGTAATCGGCTGCGCATTGTTGTACGGTTTATCTCGCGCGCACGGCGGCGGCAACTTGAGTCGTTGTGTCGGCGTGTGCCCCGCTTGCGTGTGCTCGTGTGATCCCGTGTTAGAAGTGTGAACGCGTGTGGTACGGTGTATGCGTAAGCTCTCGTCGTGCGAAATCGGCGTACCCCAGGTGCGCGATCGTAACGTGAGCGGCCAGCGCTGCGCAGAGCGGTGCGAGAGTGGGTGTCGCGTGTGTTCACTCCGTGTGTGATACAGGTGCGCGAGTATAACGTGAGTTGAGTTGGAGTGCGCGGAGCGGCGTGTGTGTGGGCGTGCGTGCGTTCGGTCCGTGTGGGTTGCAGGCTCGCGATTAGGAAAGGGAAGTATCGTAGTAGAGAGGGGCAGAATACTACTCGGTAATTAACCATGCCCATTACGCGGACCCGCGGTGGAGGGGAATCCTCGAGCGACGGCTCCCACACCATGGGTGAGGAACTCAGCAGCGGTTCGCACAGCAGCGGGGGAGCGAGGGATGATGTTAGCCCGGCCGTTAGCATTATTGAGGGAGGGATCTCGGGGGCTAGCGACCCCCACACATGTGGCTGTTTCTGTATGGTGGGAGAAACAGCTTGGCGGATGGTGCAGTCAGAGTATCCGTTCATCCTGAGGGCCCGATGTACATGTCTTAATTCACTGGCCAGGTGGTGTTGGTCAGAAATGCCATGAGCTCTGTGGTATAGCGTTTTGATGAGAGAATTATTTTGAGATGGGTGGTGGTGGGAATCAGGTTTCAAGTAGGAATCTCGAGGTTGGGATTTTCTCGTTGATCTTTGTGGAGGATGTCCTCACTCATGCCTTCTTCGTATTTTTCACAGAGTCCCATGGGGTTAGATAGGCTGCAAACTTGAAGAATTATGCATAACAGCAATCTCAGTTGAGAAGCTTCTGTCATAGCTTCATCAAGATGCTGATCATCCTCGAGAATTCCACGAAGATTGCAAGCTTCCATGTATGTTTGACAGACAACTCCTTCCACTGTGTTTAGGTCTTGGAAATTTTTTGGCCCTTTGACAACATGGAGAAGCATTCGCAAAAATTAGCACTCCTGATTATTGGGATGAACTGTGTAGACTCTTCCTAAGAAATCAGATTAACCATCACCAGCACGTCACTTCCATGTATAGTAGGAGGGAACTAAAGGTAAGTGATACAGTAATTTTAGCTGTGACGGTCCCACCTGATGACGGAGACTTGTGTTGCCTCCGAAACGTCGTGATTTATTATTTTATTTAATTTATTACTTTTATTAACTTTTATTTTTATTTTTTACCTACGTGACTTTACCGGAAAAAACCTAACAGTATGAAGCCAAGAATTCTCCAAACGGCCTCATTTCTGCTGATGTATCTTCCTTTGACAAAAAGGTGAACTTCATCCACACTTTTTCCCCTCTTTTTGTAAAGCAAACACAGCCATAGCAGACCCTTTGTTGATGCATTTGCAAACATATTTGATAGCTTTCACAGAATTGCAGAATTCCACATTAATGTGGGCCTCAAATGTATTGCACTGAAGAGGGCAGTCGGGAACGACTTACTGGTTGTCAACCTTCATTTCATAGTTAGTACCAGGTCTGAGCGTTGTTTGAAATCTACCATCTTCTGAGGTAGTGGGTAGTTTGTGATAAACTACCTCAGGACGTAACGACCCTGCCTTACGCGAGTCCCAGGCACAGCTGGCCCAGCTGTCAGTACCTGGTAAGGGCCCCTGACTAGGTACTGACATTCTGCATCGCGTAGTCATGACCTAAAACGTCTAGCTTTACTCCAGAATGTTTGGCCACTTCCGACACCAGCTGTAGGGAGTTAAACTGAGTCGCAGACATACTCTTTGGAGGCAACACATTTATTTATACCAACACAAAGGGGTAACTGCCCCTTTACCAGGTAACAACCTATGGTGGTGGACCACCAGGCAAACTACACTAATTACACTGGGAGTAGCTCCAATGTACAGGACCCTAGCTTGGGTTCAGGTCCACGTGTTGGTGACTCTTCTTGGGCGTAGAATGTAGAACGTGGATTCTTTAGGATAACCACAGCAGCCGGTCCATCTAGGGAACCCGGCTTGTATCCTCTGTGGTGTGGCTGGCTCCGCCCTCAGCTACAACCACCTTAGAAAACCCTCGAGCAGGATCTCGGCCCTGAGACGTGACCACCCCTAGCCTCCACTTGGGGGCCCTTTGTAGACTTTACCGGTTACGTGTCTTTTGGGGTCAACCAGAGTGCCATGGCTCTGAGTAACCCCATTCCCATGACCGGCACTCTCACACCCTATCCTGTAGGGGTCGGCACTGCACGCAGAGCATGGTGCCATCCAGCACTCCCAGTCTGTGCTCACCGAGCCCCTTTAGGGCCGGTACTGCATCCACATACACGTGGTGCCAGCGATGTTAATACATCGCACGCCGTGCCTCTATAGGGCAGGCATTACACAGTGACATCCGCAATGTCACGACAATAGTGTAAAGGAGAGCCGACACAAGATTGCAGGGGTTTCGTCTTTTAATCCTTTTCTCCCATCCACACCTGTCCCCAGCCGTCCCAATCTCGTTCCCGCCAAAGGCCCCCTCTTCCCACGCGTTCTCCCCTTATATCTACTCGATCACCCCTCCCACTAACCTTCCTATTGGTGGGAATCCTTCCCCTGACACCCCTACAATAGTACTAATTTCATAGAGTGTAGTGGTGAGGCATAGTCCCGTGCAGAGCCCCCCGGCCTCGCCTAGATTGTCCAGCCGGCCGAGGTCGCACTTTTGCAGGCTGGGGCTGGGCTGCTACCCCCCCCACCACCATCCCCCCGCCCGCTTTACAGTAAGAGTATCTAAGGGCTATAATCGTAGCATCTACCGACCCTATAGTATTAAGAGCACATATTGGGGGGGGGGGGGGAGAAGACGACATTACACTTTGAATAATTAAACTCAGCGTTGTGTGTATTTTTTTAGCATTTTTTACGGGAGTAATAATTCCCCCCACCGATCACGTGTGTGAGTTGCTATGGGAACCACGGCTCAGCGTTTCGCTCATGCGCAGATGCATGCTCTGGCGTTGCCCTGTGCTTATAAAATCAATACATTGTTAATTGCACTACTTTAAACTTGACATATGTGAAATACGAAGAGCACTGGCTCACCACGGGGCTTATTGTGTGGTATCTGGGTACTTTTATGAAACATATACCCCACAGTTTGCGAGTTAAATCCGTCACAAGTTGTGTACACACACAAACAGACAGACCCACAGACAGACAGACAAAATTACTTATATAGGTAAGATTATTATATATAATCGGCATAATCATTGGTTCACTGCAGCTAAAACACTTAGTCCTACAAGGCTGTGGTTAAGTTAGGAGATGTACCAAATGTGCTCGGCATTTGGAGGCCGAGAAGACCAGAATCAATGATTTAATGTTTTCAGATAGGTAGTTATATATCCGGACAGCAGAGTGAAGCAGAGCTTCTGTCCAGGGAGCAATGTTCTGGGAACCTGCGGGAGGCAAGGGCATTCCGGGAGCAGAAACATATTCTGGATTGCCAACCCAGAGAGGCCCCCAGCTGAATTCAAGCCCTAATTTGGCTGTGCTCCCTGTTTCGCTCCTGTTAACTGATCACTGGACAGCGCTTGAGATGTCGTGACCGAACATTATGCGGACAAACGGTGCTCGTCTGTCATTCGAGTCGGCGACCTGCGATCGGGGGTGTCGCTGCTAAACACCGCGTCACAATTAACTCTGCAGGGGGAGTGTGTACGTGCTCGCGAAAATATGTGACTACAGTTTGAGAACATTTTCCTCTGAAGATTTGAAATAATAATAAATATAATAACGCGTTGTTCCCTCGGCACCGGGTTTATTGCCATTTTTTACAGCCTTTGGTTGTCGTGGCCATGAGGCGACAGCATTGAGCTTGGCACCGCTGAGAATCTTTACAATCAAAATGTCAATCCGTTCATCTCCCTTTTGCAGCCCCTGACAACGTCCAAGTGGCGAATCCCCAAGTCGCGGTTTGACTCCATCGATAGCTTCCTGTCGCCCGGCGGAGCGCAGTTCAATGACCTGGAACTGCCCAAGGACGAGGACGTCCACCTGCAGCTCCTGGATGCAGGCACGGAATTTCTCCCTGCCACGATCACCTACCCTACCAGGCTCACCTCCACCACTATGCTCACCTCCCCCAACATTCTCACCTCCCCTGCTTTACGCACCTCCCCTGCCATACTCGCTGCTCACCTCCTCTGCCATGGTCAACTCCCCCGTCGCGCTCACCTCCCACGCTGCACTCACCTCCCACGCCGCACTCACATCCCCCGCCACGCTCACCTCCTCCGCCATTTTCTCCTCCTCCTCTACGCTCACCTCCCCCAATGCGCTCACTTCCCCCGCCATGCTTACCTCTCCCCTTCTTCACTCTCACCAACCGTTTATTGGGGTTATGGATTAATCGCGCATGCTGTGAAACACCGAAGATTTTTTGACTTGCCGTGCCGGTTCAGCTATCAGCTGCTCCTCACTGGTCGCGGGAACGTGACTCGGTGCTGCGTGACCACAGGCATGCCGGCGAGGGGACCATGATACGTCATGTCGATTGTGATGGGGCTGAGTGCGACTAACTGGCTGGTGTCCCTTGCAGGCCCCCACTTCCCCACCCCTACAACCCATCCCCTCCAGCTCTCTACTCTTCGCTTTTTAAACTGGTTCAGGCCATAATAGAGGGGGGTTTTCTGGGTGAAATCGCGGAGATACAACCAATTTGTAAGGTTTGTCACTTAAACAAAAGTACCAATTAGTTACTCGTTCAGCACACAGGCTGTGTGTTGGAGAGTAAACCCCACAACATCTACAATTCGAGTACTGTGACATTTCGCTGGTAATTCCAGGAGGAATTAAGGCCGAAAGAGGAGGAATTCTCCACATTTCTGGCTATCGCCTATTGAAACTAATTGATTTTTAAATTTGTCACTGCAAAGTTTTTTTCTTCTTATTCGAGTGACATGCAACGTTTGTGTGTGTGAACTGTGTGTGCATGTGGAGAAGCAGTAGTGTAGCAGTTAGTGTGCTGCTCTACGAAGCTGGCGACCAGTGATGATTATCTGAACTGGTCGTGAGCCTCCCCTAGGTCGACTCAGCCTCAAATAAGTACCCGGTGCAGTGTTTAAGCATCGCTCCTGGGTAAACAAAGAGGGTCGGACGTGGTGCTGGCCACGCACTCCCCTTGTGTACCGTTCTAGCCGTCATCGGTGCTCTCTAACAGTGCTTGCTCCCAGCAGCCTCTGTTCAGGGCCACACGGCAGGGATCTTTGTCTTTTTGCATGAGCCGTGCCTCTGGCCACCAGGCATCGATCCGCTGCTCGCTCAGCACTTTGCTCACCTCTTCATCCGCGACCCCCTCGTGCTGTTCTGCGAGAAGATCCACGCCGACGACGATGAGAACGAGGCCTACCACTTTGAAGTGAGACATCCGCCAGTGCACTTTATGAATATTATTACATTCGCTTGTTTACCCATAACGGCCTCGCCAGGTCCCAAAAATATTTTGCAGGAGAGTGCCGCCAATTTTTGTGGAAGAGGGGGGGGGGGGTTGCGATATTGCTGCAGCTGCTTCTGTGTGCTGCTTATTTGAGAAATTTGTAGGTAAATTTTCAGCATTGGAATGTTGTTTGGCCAATGCCGGTTGCATCGTGTGGTGTATTTTTTTTTTGCCTGTAGGATGAAATCGGGGAATCCGTAGGAGACCCGTAGAGAACAGGGGGAAAAACACACACAAAGCTTTCCTCGCTGAAAGGTCCCCGAGTTGGGAATCTAACCCAGGTCTCTTCCTGCTGTGAGATACAAGTGTGTTACTACCGATCCGCCCTGCCGACCCCCGAATTCCTCACTGGTGGTGTCTGTGGCTACCAGTCGTGTGCCTGCCTAACCGGTGACCCAATAAAATATTCCGTGAGAAGTGAAAGCCTGACTGGAGTACACCCACGAGGGATCGGCGTGTGTCTTCCATGATCGTGGGCACTGACCGGAGTGCATGCCCCGTGTGCATGCGTGCGTGCGTCCGTGTGCGTTGCAGTGCATCCAGTCCACAAACTGGCAGACGTTGCGCTTCAAGCCTCCGCCGCCGAACACCAACATCGGGTGGCGCGTCGAGTTCCGGCCGATGGACGTAAGCCTCTCCGAGAGGGCGACGCGGATTATACGTTGAGGTGGAGTCATACCGAGATGCATTTGAGGCTTGGAAAAGGGGTGATGATGGGAGGAGGGAATTTCAAAGTCGAGCAGTGCGTGGGTAGAAGCAGAAAGAGAAGCGTTCTGACCACGCAGTGTGGTGAGTAAGTTGGTGAATAAGTGAGTGGGTGAGTGAGTTGGCGATTGAGTGCGTGTGCTGTGACATGCAATCGTTGTGGTTGAGCACAGTGCGGGTCAGATAAAGCAGCCAGACCGAGTCCCCAATGTGTGGTGCAGGTGCAGCTCACGGACTTCGAGAATGCGGCGTACGTGGTGTTCGTGGTGCTGCTCACGCGCGCCATCCTCTCCTATGGCCTCAACTTCCTCGTGCCGCTCTCCAAGGTAAGGAGCCGCGTCCCTCCCCACTGACCGTGCGAGCGCTGCCGGGAAGCCCATCCTGGTCACATTGCAACCCGGCCGCTTGTATATAGGCTGGCGCAAGTGGTAGCTCTTGTGCCTCGGGTTCGATTTCCAACTCGGGCACGTGTGAGCACTGCCGCGAGGCTCGACCTGGTCGTATTGCAACTCTGTGAAAACAAAAAGAGGAAAAGTGGGAATGGTGGAAACAGCCCGATGCTGCAGCCCGACTTCCTAACCCAGTTCCACCCACTCTTTCTGGACAAGTGCCTGCGCTGCACGAAAATCTGACAATCCCAGATCCATGTTTTCAGCCATCTTCGGACCCACAGATAATCCAACTTTTCTATGAAAGACAATTATCCTCGATTGCGACGGATAGCCTATGATAATGGTAGAGCTTGTGTCTTCCCGACGCTAGTATCTTTATGAGTGGATTTTGTTCTGCATGCGTTTCCTCCAAGTTCTCTGCTTTTTGCAGTTAACGTTTGACCTTCTATAATGACCCCATAGTTTCGACCCATGTTAACATTGTGACTAACGGTACGTTTTCGTTACGCCCACCGCTTCCCACACACATACACACACGTGCACCTTCGTGAAATTACCAGTGCCGCTCGCGCTGCAAAGTTGCCATCTCCTGGCTCTGGCTAGGGTATGGCAGTGCAGCAAGTGGATTCATTGCCATCTGTATTCAATCTGCAACCCCCCCTCCCGTTCACACACAGTGGGCTTTCTTCGAGTGCTCTGCTTTCCTCCCACGTGTACAAACACACGTTCATAGAGTTGGCCTAAGCGTCCAAATACAGTGACTCCTCTTACGAACGAGTTAGGTTCCATAGGTCTCTTCGTAAATCGATTTGTTCATAAGTCCAACTTTACTCCCGTCGATTCCAAACCCGTTGTATGGCATGTACGCTAAACACAGGGAGTTTAATAATCTCATGCAGCTGTAGATGCCACTGTTTTCTTCATGTTCTGCAGATGTAGATGCCACTGGTTCTGCAGATGTAGATGCCACTGGTTCTGCAGATGAACCTTATGGCACGACCCCCGGGATCCCATTAGCCCCCGGCTCTCGCATAAACTAAGTTGCGAGATAATGTTATGTCTGTTGAAGGTGAATGATATGGCAATCTATTACTCTCGACGAGCTCCACACGATGCGGTAATCACAGTTTAAAAGTTTTGTTTCTTCTGCGCATTCGTCCTCGCTGCGCTTGGACGACATGAAAACAGAATAATCCGTGCCAGGTGGTTCGCGGCGTTTATGTGTGCGGTGGGACAGAGTCGCCAATTTTTTTTTATTAATTACGTTTGAAATCCGTTTATTCGGGACCCCGGGGTCTCACCATAAGGCTCAGATGTTGATGCCACCACTGACATCAATTGCACGGCAGTTGAATTTACGACTGTTCGGTCTGTTCGTATCTTCAAAAATCCGTTTATACGTAGAGGAGTCCCTGTAGTGGGCCTCAGAGCTTGGGCGATTTTTAGCAACAGGCACTGGTTCCGGTGCCCCTGAATCTTACGAAAACTGTGCAGCGCGTAACAAATGTGATTTTTTTACTTTGCTACTTTTTTATTGCTTCTCTCAGGCACCTTTGGTGCAAAAGGTTGCCGCCTAAATGTTTGGCACATCCCTGACCGTCAATTATCTTCTGCCACAGGTAGATCAGAACATCAGGAAGGCGCAGAAGAGGAACGCTGTGCTGGAGGAGATGTTTTATTTCAGGAAGGACATTCAGGCAGGCAAGTCGAGCCATTACAAATCATACGTTGTCTTTTTCCACAACTTTACTCTGAGTGTGCTCTTGGTGTCGAGTCACGAGATGAAGAATCCATTCAGAAATCTCACATGGCAGTGACCCACTCCCATCCCCGTGTTAGACAATAGCACACAGAAGTGAATATCCCGGAACTATTTTTGAGATCCCTTCTGCAAATGACCTCCGTGTCACATGGTAGTGGGCAGCACTCTCCAACTTGCCCCGGTGCCAACAGCAATGTTTGTTGCATGGCAGTCAAAGCGATATTTGAAGTCTCACATCTGGAATTTGGCGAAGTTAAGTGCAGAACCAAATTTTATGTCATGGATTTTGTAATTTTTGAGCAATCATTGTTGACCGGGCTGATACCATCTACTCACCACACTTGAGAACCCGGTTTCATCGCAGGCGGTTACTGAACTCCAAATTGGATCCCAGGGTCTCAGCGGTGCGGGCTCAGCCACGCTGACCTCCAAGCCAACGATCCGGACCTCCTCGCAACCCAAGCCTTCACCCCAGCCTGCCGTGCATGTGTGTGTGCATCACACGAGCGCTTAACCTCGCTCACGGTCGCTCGCCATGCAGTTTATTTTCTTTGCGACCAGAGGTGGACGCTCCCCCAGCAGATGACACCGAGTCCGAGGACGAAGTGGGGATCCTCATGAGCATTGACACCATCATCAATGGCAAGGTGGGCAACCCGGCGGGGCAGGGCTCGCGGCCATCCTCGCAGTGTCAGGCCCTGCGGGCTCTTGCAGCGTCACGCTCACCCTTTGCCATCCACCGCCATGGCTGTCCAGAGCACCGCAACAATCGCTTGCTGTACGTCTCGCTGCCGCCATTTTGTGCGGTGGCGGAGTGGTCGGCGTGCTGTGGCTAACGTCAGTTGGCGAGCGAAATCGGAAACAGTTCTGGAAACTCCGCCCCCCCCCCCCCGTGCCCGTAAATAAAACCCATGCTAACGCATGTGATGAATGGTAAAAACCCCATGACTGTGTGGGGAGGCCATCATCCAAGCGGTGGATTGACAGTGGTAACTTATGATTAGAGCTCGTCTCCCAGTTATCACGTGAGCTGCCTTCAAGCGAGCAGCTCTACTCAAAGCAGTTACTTGCACTTCCCGTGCTGCAGACTGGCTCACCACTTTCCAGTCATGGATCCATCCCACATATCATCAGCCATGATCAATACAGTGCTGGATTCAGGCCTCCCCCAAGGCATTGCTATCTGTCGCCATCCTGTGATGCAACAAATCGACGCGACAATCCTGGTGAGAGTAACACTGATAAACTGAAGGCTGCAGCTGACACTGCCTGCCATGGCGTGGTGTGCTGTGCTGTGGAGTGTGGTGTGTACGGTGTACTATGGTGTGTGCGGTATGTGTGATGTGTGGGCTGTGCTCTGATGTGTTGTGTGTGCTGTGGTGTGCTGTGATGTGTGCAGTGTGTGCTGTGGTGTTTACGGTGTGTTGTGATGTGTGCGGTGTGCTGTGATGTGTTCGATGTGTGTTATGGTGTGAGCGGTGTGCTGTGATGTGTGTGGTGTGCTGTGGTGTTTACGGTGTGCTGTGGTGTGTGCGGTGTGCTGTGGTGTGCCGTGCAAGAACAGGTGGGGGTGTTCCAGGGCCTCATCCCCATAGTCAACAGCTTCCTGGAAGACATGGAGGTGGACGTGGAGACTTGGTGCACGATCTCCCACTACATGGAGCTCATCAGCAAGCGTGCGTCTGGTGAGTGCACTCCAGGGGATCATCACCCCTTCTCCAAGTGCGAGTGATGATGAGTCCTGACCTCGTGCAAGCCTCATCGTCGTTGTGCAGGGGATGATGGCCGACAGACGAGACCGGTGTTGGAATGGCAGCCATAAGAGGGGAAGCAACCGAGGAGGTGATGACCGCAGATTGTTGATGGCCAGGAGCATAGAAGCGGGAGCGTTGTACTGTACAATTGATTTTGGGGACATTGCCCTCCGCTGCCGACGACGTAGCACAGCAGCAGCGTGTAACGCCTTGACGTGCACGGTGGTCGCCCATCCAAGCGCTCTCCGGGCTCAGGAATCCTGATCGGGTTGCGTGGTGCGACGAGCTCGGGCGCCTAACGTGCGCGAGAGACTTCGCACACCGCTACGTGCATGGGAGCGGTGGTCGTCGTCGTCTCCTCCTCCACTGCCGCTGACGACGCTGCGGTGACCGCGTGCGGTTCTCGTTGGTTTCCCCCAGGGGAGCTAGGAACGACGGCCCAGCGGCTTCGCGCCTTCGTGAGCGGCCACCCTGACTACGCACACGACAGCGTCATCTCGGAGCGCGTCAACTATGACCTGATGCTGCGCTGTGACGCCCTGTCGCGTTCGGGGCCCCACCGCCATGGCGCGGACCCCTTGCACGAGCTCAGCCACGGCGCTTGCCAGACCGGATAGCTCACCTCGCTCGCCACGCTCAGCGCACTTACCACGCCCACCAGGCTTGCGATGCTCACCACGCTCACCTCATTCGCCAATCTTACCTCGCTCACCGCACTGAACTCGGTCACCTGCGCTCACCACACTCACCGCGCTCACCATGCTTATTGCACTCTCCTCACTCACCTTGCTCCCCGCACTCACCACGCTCACCTCGCTCGCCACAATCACCTTGCTCCCTGCATTCACATCGCTCCTTGTGCTCACCACACTCTGATAAACCCAAAGGTGAACGCCAGGTCACCCCCGTTACAGCAGGGACCCTGTGGCATGTGGGCAAAATGCGGGCCATGCTTCGTTTTTACGTGGCCCGTCACTCCACTTCACATCAATTCATTGTTTCACGGGGCCCTTCATGTCATATAATTGGATTAAAAAAAACAAGACGAAGCTTTTGTAGAAGTTGTGGTGGTCTGTGGGTTTCAGGTGAGGTCAGCAGGGAACCGTGTGTGAATTGTCCACTGCAGCCTAACAAATGTAAAGGTGGACCGAAGTGACCGCATGTGCAGATTTAACGTGTGCAGGCTTTCACGACCTGATGCGATTCAAAATAGTTTTTTGGTTAGATGGCTGCGAGTAAAATGTTTGTCGTTACACCCTCCTCCAATTCATGAAATCAAATGCTTGGAAACTAAGTATGTGTGTGCTGTACGAATCGGTGAGTGGTCATTGTTACTGTGAACTTCACTCATTGATTACTCCACCCATATGCACACAGCGTTCAACCAGATCAAAACGACAAAGACAAAGACCTTCCCTATAGCCTTAACAAACTGTTGGGGCAAGTGGTGTTAGTGACAAGGCTGGATTATGGACCGGGACAGTGGGGCTAGTGCCCCGGAGCCTCGGACTGCCAGGGGGCCTCCAAGCCTCAGGGCGTGCACGGTGTGTGGCCCAAGACTTCTGAAGGAAGTTGAATGCCGGGACCCTCAATGCGCACAGCAAGATGATCGCTAGGCCCCTGGGTGCTTATAGCGTGAACTAACCACTACTGCCCCCAAGACCCCTCGGCGCTGATAAAGAAGTCAACGCAGCAACTAATAAAACGAGCCAAAAAAGGTCGTGTCCCGTGCGTCACGTCACTCCAAATGAGGCTCCCCCCCCCTGTCATTAATAATGATGAGCGGTTGACGTCACTCCACATGGAGCATGCTCTTCATTAATAATCATGAGCGGATGATGTGAGGCACCCCCACTTGAACGCAGTGGGCTCACATGACATTGTTTTTTTCCGAGACCAAAGTACTCTGCAAACCTTTGGGCTACCATCAAAGATTTGTTCATTAAGCCATCCAGATATAT